CACTGAATTCCCAGTGGGATTTGTTTCCTGGTACTTTTCAGCTCTGCTCATAACATGATTTATTCATTTCACTTGGGGTTTTGGGTTCCATCCAGGGACTCTGCATCCACTGTAGTGGCAAAATGGGTTCTTTGGGTTGGTGTCACAGAGAATTTTCAAATTTAAGATTCTTCCTTCCCATTCCTTTTGATTTGAGGGAAGTCTGCCATCACCCCAATAATATTTTTGCCTTACAATACACAGGTTAAAGCACCTGTAAGGCTCTCAGGTGCTTCCTTCAGCAGAAAGCTCCATCCTCTCATCCTAAAAGAAGCCAAACCCACTGACAGAGAGCTGAATTTGGTACCAGCACCTCCAAACCCCAGCGATTCCAGGTGCAGAACATCCTTCCCTCGCCATCTCCTCCCATTTCCCACGGAAATAAAGCAAGTGGCAGTGTCCCCTTTGGCACAGGGGGTGGCACAGGGAGCAGGGATGGGCTATTGGCACCTGCTCAGGTCGCCAATGAGCCCAGGGAGGGAGGTGCAGGGCAGAAGCCACTTTGGGGCACGCTGCAGTGAGGCTTTTCCACCAGTGCAATCGGAAATTCATTAAAAAAAAAAAAAACAAAAAACCAAACCAAACCAAAAACGGATCAAATCAAAGAAAAACGAGAGAAAATCAAAGCAGAGAATTTAAAGAATTGTTTAAATTCAATGAAACCAACCGTGTCCTATATGTGATGTTGTCATGGATGGATATTTGCAAGATTATTTACAAAGTTTTTTATATTTTTTTTTTTTGAGCAGCAGGTGCACAACATACAGACGGAGACATGGTTTTCGCATTGTATGTTGATTGGATGGCGTGATTCAGCAGGTAGATAAGGAAAATAAGGAACAAAAACAGGAAACAAAAGAGAAAATGAGTAATCAGGACAAGCAAAAAGGAAACTCTGAAAAATTTCACTGGAAAAAAACCGTTGGGCTATCGGGGGAGGTGTTATTTTATGGGAACTCCAGAAATAAAAAAATGCTTCGAACCAAAACAGATTCGGAGATCCTTGAGGTAACACAGACAGTGCAGTTGTGATTTGCATTTCAGTTTGTAATGCAAATTTGGAGACAATTCACAAACACTTCTCAGGATGGTTTTTTGTATTTCCAGGCATAGAAATAGATGTCAGTTTGCCAAACACCCCCTCGGCCTCCCAAGGCCAGCTGTGTCCACAAGGACACTTTTCCTTAATCCCACCTCTTTTCCCTCAGTTACTGAGGGTAAAAAAACTGACATTCATGCTTTTGCCTGAGGAAATAAAAAAATAGATATTCCACTACAATCACAAAGTAAATTACATGTGACATGACCAGGAAAATTAAAACAAAGCAGTTAATCCACACATTTCTTTTCCTTTTGTCTTGAATTCTCAGAGGGTTAAAGGTACCAAGCAAGGCTGGTGGAAGCCAAGTCTCTCAAGGTGAGGCCACCCAGCATTATTTACCTTTGGAGAACACTTCTAGCTGGAAAATACAGAGGACAATGGTGCTCTGGCAGCTATTTGTGAGCCTGAGCTCAGTGTCACACCTAGAAAACATCTCCAGGGGGACCTGGGGGTGGTGGGACAGGGACAGCTGCAGGCTGGCACTCAGGGTCACCTCGTGGCTGTCACCTGGATTTCCCAGGTGAGGAAACTCCCTGGGAATGGCTGCCAGGGGGGCTGGAGGGACTGAAGGGGCTGCCCCAAACTCTGCCCAGCCCAGCAGGGGAGGCTGGAGCTGCGAGGGGACACGGACAAAGGGCCATTCCCTGCTGGGACACAGCTCTGAGAGTGCTGATCCAAAACCTGCTCTCCTCTCTGGTAATTCCCTGCTCCAGGACAGCTCCTGCTCTCTGCTCGTGCCCTGAGCAGGGCGAGGTGAGCTTGGCTCAGCAGAGCTCAGTGGATGCTCATCCCCAGCCTTTATTTCCTGCTCTGCCTCTCCTGGAATTCCAGAGGGAAAGGGTTTGGGCAGAGGCCACAGCTGGGCTGTGCTCTGTCAATGAGGAACCTCCTCCATCCCTGCACCTTCACATCTCTGTATCAGCTCTTTCAAGCCCTTTGTTTCTACATTTTTCTAAAATTGGTTCTATTTTGGAACTATTGGTTCAAAATTGAATCAAACTGGTTCTGTTGGTTCATTTTTCTACATTAGTTCTCAATACCAGAAGTATTTAAATTAGGTAAAATTGAAGTTTAGCCAAATATTCCAAAGCTGGGGCAGGAACAGAGGGCTGCATCCTTCTGCTGCTTTTCCATCCTCAGGACTGGAGAGGGAGAAGCATAAAATCATGGAATGATTTGGGTTGGAAGGGACCTTAAAGCTCATCTTCCACCTCCTGCCATGGACAGGGGCCTTCCACTGTCCCAGGTTGCTCCAAGCCCTGTCCAAGCTGGCTCTGAGGGCAGGAAGGTTTTAGTGGCAGTGGAGAGCCTGGTACAAGACCACATTCCACTGGCTGAAGCTGAATGAATTCCATGAGAGCCATCCTTCCAGCTGCCAATCCTGTTATCAATCCTCTTATCAATCCTCTTATCAATCCTGTTATCAATCCTGTTATCAATCCTCTTATCAATCCTCTTATCAATCCCATTATCAGTGTGATCTTCAGGGCACCACTGCCAACACTCAGTGCCAGAACTAAGCAGGGATGTTCAGGCCTGGGCATCACTGTCCCCTGTGAGCAGACTGAGCTGCTCAGGGCACTGTGCCCATTGTCCCCGTGGGAGGCTGCCATGGATGTGTGTGGCTTTAGGGAGCCTGTGCTGGTGGCTGTCCCCTGGGGATGGAGTGCTGCTGGAGAGAAATGAGGGAGGAGCTGCATCAGAGAAGTGTTGAAAACCAAGTTTAGAGAGGAAAGTGGCAGGGGATGAGCCCTGGGCCATCTCTGAAGGGAAAAGCAGGGCAGGGGACCTGGGGCTACACAGAAATCAGAGAATTGTTCAAGTTGGAAAAGATCTCTGAGATCATCGAGTCCAACCATTCCCCCAGCACTGCCAAGGCCACCATTAAATGCTGTCCCCGAGTGCCACATCCACACAGCTTTCAGAGCTCTCCAGGGATGGGGACTCCACCTGTTCCAGAGCCTGACCACCCCTTCCATGAAGCAATTATTCCAAATATCCCCTCCAAACTTCCTCTGGAGCAACCTGAGGCTGTTTGCTCTTGCCTTGCTGCTCTTCCTTGGGAGAAGAGCTCAATCCCCACAGGGGTGCTGCAGAAGGGGAATATTTAGAGAGAGCAGAGACACAAACAAAGGACCAAAGGCTCAGGGCTGGAGTGGTCCTGGGGACATCTGGCTTTTATATGAGAGATGTGACCAGCTCCATGTTGGACACTGCCAGGGGAATCTGGTGACCTCCTTTAGAAAATCCTCTCTAAGGACTGAATGGATCCAGTTGCTCATAAACCAAAAAACCTCTTCTTCCCCAGCTGGGAGGAGAAGGGAAAGGCACATGGGTCCCTGGGAGCTGAGCCCTGTTGGGGTTTTAGGGGTAATTCCCTCGACTCTGCAAAGGTTTTGATGCTGGAAATGTCTCACAGCCCAAGCTGATGCAATTCCCTGGCTGGGCCATCCTGTGGGAGCTGGGGGGAGAGGCAGTGTCCCATTAATGCCCCATTAACTGAGCAGGGAAGGCAACACTCTGGCTGCTCCCTGCCTGCAAAATAGCTCCAAAAAATGAGGATTTTAGCAGCATGTGGCTTGGTGTTGAGAAGTAGAAACCTTCCTGAAGGAGAAGACACCAATCCGGGAGCAACCAGAGGCTCCCTTACCTCGTGTGAGCTGTCAGTGCTGCTCCCTCCCAGGAAAAGTGGCCAAAGTGGGGGTGGAAAAGTTTCAGTCTGTTTGAGGCTGATTTGCAAATATTTTCATTAACTTTCAAACCATGGCAGAAGTTTGGGTGCCCTTGGCAAGAAAACACATCCCATGGCAGAGGGAGTGGGGACAAACCCCCTGTGCCATCCCACAGCACTCAGAGAGGGTGAGCTGAGTAACCTCAGCCTGGCTGCACTGAAAACCAAAGCCTACAACATAGGATTCACCAGCAGATAAATGAACATCATTTGTATGGGGAGGAAAACTTGGGGGAGTTATGCATTATTCTGTAGCAAGGAGGTTAAATAAAAATGCATTTTGTTAGAAACAGTCACATGGTCTTCACCAGCACCTGGAAAGGAATGTGGGGAGCACAGTTCTGAGCACACACAAAACAGAGCTACAGGCAAACCCCTGGGACTGAGAAAAAAAGTTATGGTCAAGTTCAAATTCATCACACTCTGCTACATCATCAGCTACAACATGCACTGGGAGAGGAACAATTTCTACATTGAGTAATATCAGATTGTCAGGGATTGAGACAGACATTGGCTGCCCTTATGGAAAAATCCTTCAGAATTTAATGATGAGTCTGTCCACTTTGTGAGATGTACAAGACTTGTTAGCAGGGAGACAGCAGCCCTTGGAGGGGCTGAAATCCTATGGGAAAGCAGCTGTGACAGGAACATTCCCCCAGTGCAGACTCTTCACCTCTTCCCTTCCCACTGTCCCTGTGTCCCTGTCACTTCCCTTCACCCTCACCCTGCCCTGTTACCCAGACTGGGCAGGAGCCCCAAGGGCCAGACGTGCCCTGCAAAAAACCTCCCACTTAACACAGCAGAATGCCTTTGCTCTTTTCCCTCTGTAAATTCAGCAGGATTTTTCCATGAATGGGCAGAAAAGGCCTGGGGATAGAGAAGTTTGCTGCAGGACACAGGGAGCTGCTTCCTGGCAGAGCCATGAGCGCTGAGCTTCCCATCACAGCTCCCCCTCTTTGGGGCAGACAGCTGTGCTCAGCTCCAGGGAAAAGCAGAGCTCAGGGAACAGGGGCAGCCAAGGCCATCATGACTCCCAGAGGCAGCTCCAGGGAATGAGGCTGGTAGGGAGAAGGTTCAGTGTCTTGACAGGGCACAGCTTGGTTTATAAATGAAATAAATTGAGCAAACTGTACTTACCGCAATCTCTGTTACTAAAATATCAGTAATACTTCCCAACACTGTTACAAAATCAAAGACATTCCAGGCATCTCGGAAATAATTCTGCCAAATGAGAACACAAGGGGAATAGAGGGATCCAGGGGTTATTTTCTTTTTGCCAGCACAGGTTGGGGGTCTTTTTTTCTTTGCTCGTTTTTAAATGCTCATCACAAAACGTGAGCATTTGACAGAGAGAGGAAAGAGGTGAAACAGAACGAGGGAGGCACCTACCAGCACACCAAAGGCAATGATCTTCAGCACACATTCCATGGAAAACATGGATGTAAACACAATATTCAGGCATTTCAGCATTTCTTCATATGCTTCTGGAGCATCATAGAACTAAAGAGGGAGAGAGGAAAGGCTCTTACTGGAAGATCACTGACAGAATAAAACCTTTCCCAGCTGATTCCTGCTCGTTTCAGTCAGGATCTGTGCTCACTTTAAGTGGGATTTGGGGTTACAGCACAGTTATTCCTGTCTCTCTTACTCCATCCTGTACTGAGCTGGAATATCCCCAGAAGTGGAGGCTGTTGCTGAGGGACATCCCCCTGTAAGCACAGCACAGACCAGGAGTGGGGAAGGGCATTTTCAAACCAGAGGACAAGTGCAGAACTGTGTTTCTTCCACTAAGAGTATGGGGACCCGTTGACTGTGAAGAAGCTCTGAGATAGGCAGGGGATAGGAGGGGACATCATCCACCTGTGACTCTTCCCCCACTCTGGAGCACATCCCAGGAGCCTGGTGCTGCTCCAAAATCGAATAATTTCACAGAATCATAGACTGGCTTGGGTGGGAAGAGACCTCAAAGGGTCCCTTAAAGGGAAGGGACCTCATCCAGTGCCACCCCTGCCATGGCAGGGACACCTCCCACTGTCCCAGGCTGCTCCAGCCCCAATGTCCAACCTGGCCTTGGGCACTGCCAGGGATCCAGGGGCAGCCACAGCTGCTCTGGGCACCCTGTGCCAGCCCTGCCCACCCTGCCAGGGAAGAATTCCTGCCCAATATCCCATCTAAACCTGCTCTGTTTCAGTTTGAATTTCAGTTTGAATTTCCAAGACCCTGCTCTGCAGGAGAAAGCCCAGGCTGAGCTGCAGATCAGGACCTGCAGATCCCAGTTCCCATCCCATGTTCACACACCAAAGGGGCTGAGCCCAAGCACCACTGTTCAGGGAGCCCCCCTGGTGGGATCTCACCCCAGCTAATCCCCCAATCCCACCAGGCACATGAGGAGTGGTGGCTGCTCTGCTGAGCCCCTCCAGCTCTCTGGAGAATCTCTCCAGCCAACAGCCCAAAATTCCAAGATTCAGGAAAATTCCCACTCACTTTCATCATGAGGACGATGGTGTTGAGAGCAATCATGACCATGATAAAATACTCAAAGGGAGGGGACACCACGAATTTCCACATCTTGTACTGGAAGGATTGCTTGTTCTGAGGCATGTAACGGGTCAGGGGCTTGGCACTTATGGCAAAGTCTATGCAGGCTCTCTACAAAACAAAAAGGGGATGAAAAGATGCCAGAAAAAGGGCTGGAAGTTTTTATCCACCGGGATGTGGCTGGGAGAGTGAGCAGAGCATTTACACCCAGTGAGTATTGATTGTTCCTGTAAAATGCAGCACAGGATTCCCAAATCCTGATCAATTCTCCTGGAATATTTACCCTGTAACATTCCCATGGCCCCTGCTGTCCTACCCCATTCCATTAGAGCCCAGCTCCTCCTAAGTCCTGATCCCTTCCCACTTCTAAAAATGCTTCCAATTCCTCCTGATGGGCGATTGTAGGAACCAGAGGATTGGTAAAGATGTTATTTGTGGTTTTTAAAAAATATTGTGGAACTCAGGTGTGTCCTCACACACAGCAACACCCAAACAGCTCAGAATGTTTCATAAAATGAGGACTGAATTTACCAATAAATTATCCACCAGAAGCACCAGGGCAACTCTCAGAGATGCTCTTCACTGGCCATTTCTGTTCACTTTATTATGAATATAAAATGATGATAAAAATTGCTTTCAAGAGGTTTTGATTCTGGAGTGTTTTCTCATCTTGGATTTACATAAGAATTGCAAGTCTGAAATCACTTTCTGCTCAGTTGGAAAATAACATGGGTAAAGCTCTCTAAATATTCTGCTTTATTTTGGACTTTTTGTTCATTTAGACAAACAAGGAATTAATTAAAAACCGCTTAAAAATTCATCTCTTTTCATCAAAAATCAGGTTCCAGTTTCAAAATATATGAAAAGAGATGGTTCTTTCCAAAAGAGGTCGTGGAGGCTGTGGGACCCCAGAGGAAGGATGCTGCAGATGCTAAAAATCTGCATGGATTGAGGAGGAAACTGGATAGAGCCATGGAAGGAAGATACACAGATGCCAGTAACTAAAGAAAAACCAGCTCAAGAGGTCCCTGAGTGGCAAACAATGGCATTTTTGGGGGCATTAAAGAAAAGCCTCACAGCTTCTTGCCCTGGTCTTACACTCTTCTCAAGGCTTCTCCTTTTGGCTGCTGCCAGGAGGAAAAATCCCAGCCAGGCACAAAAACAGCCTGGAGAGAGTTTTCCTCTGGGCAGCCACAGCAGCTGAACTCAGCTTGGTTCCTGAGGTCTGACCTCCTTCTGAGAAAAACAAAACTTAATAACATAAAAATAATAATATAAAATCATGGAATGGTTTGGGCTGGAAAGGACCTTAAGGCCCATCCAGTGCCACCCCTGCCATGGCAGGGACCCCTCCCACTGTCCCAGGCTGCTCCAACCCCAATGTCCAACCTGGCCTTGGGCACTGCCAGGGATCCAGGGGCAGCCACAGGGCTGTGCCCTGTGCCAGGGCAGATCCATCCTCACTTTGGTGTGTGTGACAGTGGTTCCCAACAGAAAGCACTTGGGGGCTCTGCCTGGTTTTGTTTTTATGCAGAAGCTGAAACAGCCCCTGATTTCTTTGGTCTGTGCAGCACACACCCTCCAATAAGCTCTGCTCCCCATCCTCCCAGCACAGGGGAACAGGGAGTGCCCTTCCACACTATCCAGTGCTCTGAGCCCCTGGAACACCAACTCTGGAGTCAGAAGAGGTGGGTACCTCGTTTTTCTCGAGGCTGCACTCTGACATCACTTTATCTCCTTGCTCCTGGAAGGTGATGATGATTAACGCCACAAAGATGTTGACAAAGAAAAAAGGGAAGACAACAAAATACACCACGTAAAAGATGGACATTTCCATCCTGTAGCCAGGGCTGGGCCCCTGTTCCTCGTAGGTGGCATCCACCGAGTGCTTCAGCACACTGCAAGCAAATGCAAAGAGAGAGGAAAGGTCAACACAATCCCTGAGAATCACACCCTGGCCTTCACTCACGTGCAGGGTTTCCCACATATGCTCAGGAAGAGCTTGCTCCCATCCCCAAGGCTGGGAAGAAGTTTTCCTGGAGGATATTTTTATAGGGAAACCTTTTGTTCTCACCATTCTGCAGAATGGCAGAGATTTGCTGTGTCCAGATCCACTGATCCCCCCTGGACAAGGGGAGAGGATCCAGCTGGATCTGGCTTCTGGTCAACAGGGATGGAGTAAGAGTGGGAAAAGAGAAGTGTTAATGACATCCAAGTAGGGGAACACAGTGAGGGACTGGAAAAGAGAGGCTGATGCTCTTTTAGTGTTTATTTTATGAAAGAGTTGAACATGGAGGCAGAGAAGCCCTGGCCACACACTGCACTCCACATGTGCCAAAATAAAGTCATGTGTTGAACAGGAAATGTCATTTGGAGACTGTCACACCCAGCAGACTTTCAGCAGAGCTCACAACACTTTTCCCCCTTCATTTTCTTACATTTCCATTATCAATTTTACCCCTGAGAAAGGTGTGGAGTCCAAAAGTCTGAAGCAAGAGCTGAAAACTTTCTGAGCATCCCTGTGCGAGCTCAGAAGGGCACCAAGGAAAACGCAGAGCCCTGCCTGCTGGTTCAGCCAAGAATCACACAAAACTTAGCTGGTGAAAGACTTTTCTCGTGTCCCAGGTCCCCTGCTGTCCCTCAGAGCTCTGGGGACCTGCTTTACCTGCACCAGCCCCTGCCAGGGCCATGTACTCACGTTGGCCACCCTTCCCCTGTGGACACGGTGAAGAGTGTGAGCAGAGCCCAGAGCACGTTGTCGTAGTGGAACTCGTACTTTTTCCATTCCCTGGGCTGTGCCTCCACCTCATTTTTTTCATAATCGAGGTACTGACCCCTAGGAAAAAGAGATTCAGAGCCAATGAGAGAATTAAAGCAGCTCAGGCATTTCTCAGCACTCAGGAGTACTGGAAAGCCCCAGCAGCACAGTCTGGATTGTTCTGTTGGTTAAAGACAAAGGGACTCCCTCAAAGTCCATGGCAGAAGTAAAAGCCAATTTTTGAGCCACTTTTAGCCATGGGAACTGGACCTGAGCTCTGAAAATGAAAGAAATTTGAATCAGGGCATTCATCAATTCATTAGGCAAAGCCAGCCATTAACACCACGCCTGCCTCTCAATTGTCTGACCCCACAGAAAACTTCTGCTTGATGGGGAAGCATCCCTGGCTCCCACTCCAGGGTTGGATCTAACTTCTAAATGTGTCCTCACTTTTAGGGGCCTGACATGTGGAGAACCCTCTCCAACCTATCCTATTCTATAATTTCACATTCCTTTCTGTAATTTATTTGCATTTTTCCAAGGAAAAACTGCCGTGAGAGCCCCCAGGATCCCACCAGGGATGTGCCCTGCAGGTACCAGGCAGCAGGAGAGGGACAGGCAGAGCAGGGCTGTGCTGAGGAGCTGCTTTGGGTGCCAAGAAAAAAGCTAATGAGATGCACATTATGGAGTAACACACCTTGCCAGCCTGCTGGGAAGGACAAAGCATGACAGGGCTTTTAAGATATTCACATCCTGTCCCTCTCCTCGCTAATTATTAGCTCTTTAACGTCCTATGCTTCTGATTATTTATTCAGTGTGTTTTTCTAATTCATAGGAGCTCTAAGAATCGAGGCAACAAGTGGAAAGAGTCACACTATCAAAATCCTTTCTCAAAAATCACACCCAGCTTTCCCAGGGAAGAAGCTGCCTCCCGTTTTCCTGAAGATCAGAGCCAAGAATGAATAAAAGGAAAAGAAGGGAAAATTCACCTCCAGAGGGCTGTGCTGAATTATTGCTGTAATTTACAGGAGACTCTGCCCACTGAGCACATCCCTGCCTTGGGGCCAGCCTGGGGAAGCTGCTCCCCCCTCATTCCCTGCTCCCAGCTGTACCTGCAGTCCTTCTCCAGCTCCTTGGACTCGTCTGTGCAGTAGAAGAAGCGGCCCTTGAAGAGCTGCACGGCGATGACGGCGAAGATGAACATGAAGAGCATGTAAACAATGAGGATGTTGAGGACGTTCTTCAGGGAGTTCACCACGCAGTCAAAGACAGCCTGGGGGTGCAGGGGGACAAGGTCAAGGGGTGGGAAGAAACGAAAAGTTCATCCAAAATCTTGGCACCGCCACCTGACCACACTCTGGGAATCACGGAAGGGTTTGGGATGGAAGGGACCTTAGAGATCATCTCATTCCCATAAATCCCCAATGTCCAACCTGGCCTTGGGCACTGCCAGGGATCCAGGGGCAGCCACAGCTGCTCTGGGCACCCTGTGCCAGCCCTGCCCACCCTGCCAGGGAACAATTCCTGCCCAATATCCCATCTAAATCTCTCTCATTTGGGACTCATTACCCATCCCACCACCCATGGATGCTCCAATGGATTTTCACTTCCCAAAGCTGTGAGAAATAACTCCAGCTTCCTTCATCTCCTGCTTTAGCCACAGCTTTGGCTGTGAATTTTGTGATGCTGCTCATAACATTTATAAAGCTTGTCAAGACAATATTAGTCCTGAGCAAATATTTCATTATAAAATGAAAATTGCACTTGTTTTGATTTTACTTCCAGTGGCTGGGTAAAAGCTGTTGGAATAATAAGGAAAAAAATACCAGAAACAAAACAACCAAATGCTTTGAATAAATATTTTTCTAAAGAGCTGTCTGTCAAAATGAGGTGTGACTAATGTAGTCAGCATGTGCACTCCTGAACTCCCTGCAAAGAACTCCTCAAATCCATTTCCTACATAGGTATGAGGCCCTGATTCTTTACAACTAATTTGCAGTTTCATTTTAGTCAGAAGTTTGTCATAACACCAGAAATTGAGCAGTCCCTGCCCAAGCACAGGCTTTGTACAATCCTGCTCCTGTTCTCTGAATGGAATCACTCACAGAACTACACTCCTGATGCAACTCAGGAATCCTGATGGAAATCTCTGTGATCAGCCCAGAAATCCTGATGGAAATCCCTGTGATCAGCCCAGAAATCCTGATAGAAATCCCAATGATCAACCCAGAAATCCCAATGGAAATCCCCGTGATCAGCCCAGAAATCCTGATGGAAATCCCTATGATCAACCCAGAAATTCTAATGAAATTTCTACATAGTTCAACATTAATGTTTCTTTTCAGATAATTTAAAAACTAGAATTAGAATTGGACTTTTAAAAACTAGAATTATTTAAGCATGAATGGTGGGCTCAGAGAAAAGCAACTCTACAGAACAGCTGACCCTTATTTTGATGTGAAAACAGGAATTGTCAAACACATTTTCACCCTTCCAAAACATTAATTGCTTTTTCCCCATCTCTCACAGAAAACAGCCCACAAAAGATACTGAAGAGTCCCTAAAACTCAGAAATTACTGAGTTTTGTTCACTCTTTCCATTCTCTCGTTGCAGGGCCTGGCTGTACCTCACAGTGTTGGTGTTGGATAAGTAATCACAGGCCATTACACTTATTTTATTTTTAGATCAGTGTTCTAGGGATAAACCCCTGAACTATGGATTCTTTAATAGAAAGATGAATAAATTAAAGCTTCTCCCATGGCAATGACAAATCTCTTTGGACAGCCTGTGGAAAACCTTGCAATATTCATGTTAAATTCTCTAGGGAAAGCCAAACCCTCCCAACCCCATTTTCTCCTTTATCACATCGAAGAGCATCCTACTTATGAACTGTAATTTAATTTATTTGTGGGTTTTTTTCGATTGGTAGAGGTTTTATTTTCATGTGGATTCACAAGAGTCCCCAACATTTGCAAAAGCACCGAAATGTTTGACATTTGCTCAACATCTGCCCAGCTGTGCTCATCTGGCAAAGAGATTCATTGCAATGAAATCAAAGCAACAGAAGCAACTTGGATTAAGTGGAGCCCACCAGCTTCCACTCAGATCAGCCAGAAAGCTCCAGAGAAGGAGAAATTGGGGTTATTTCCTAACCTTCAGTTTTGGCAGCCGTTTTATGGTCTTCAGGGGCCTGAGCACACGCAGCACTCGCAGGGACTTGATGGTGTTGATGTCCTTGCCTTTGGTTCCTCTGCAGGGGAGAAAGAGGCACAAGAACAACAGAGGGAATCATTTGCTCCTCAGGTCACTCACTGGGATATTTGGGTGTCCAGGGTGGCTTTGGTGGTGGAACTGGTTGGGTTTGGGGATGTTGTGACAGGTTTTGTGTCCATCCTCACCAGGGCTGCAGGCAGGATGACCCAACCTCACCTGGGATGTCCCGAGCAGCACAGAGGAGAAGGCTGGGGCAGGACAGGGTCCTGGCAGGGCTCAGCCACAGCTGCTGGCCAGGCTTTGTCACCTCCCAGCCACTCCTGCCCCGACTCCACAGCTGGACAACGCTCCCAGCCAGGGCAGCAGCACTGGGACAGGAGGCTCAGCTCCTCCATCCCATTCCCAGCAGGAAAAGGGACAAAGCCACGCCTGGCTCTTCCCTCCCACTGGATGAGGCAGGGGGTGTTTGTTTCTGGATGAGACAAGGGGGTGTTTGTGGATAAGGCAGGGGGTGTTTGTGGATAAGGCAGGGGGTGTTTGTGGATGAGATTTGGGTGTTCCTGGATAAAGCCGGGAGTGTTTGTTTCTGGATGAGGCAGGGGTGTTTGTGGATGAGGTTTGGGTGTTTCTGGATGAGGCAGGGGGTGTCTGTTTCTGGATAAGCAGGTGGTGTTTGTGGATAAGGCAGGGTGTATTTGGGTGTTTGTTTCTGGATGAGGTTTGGGTATTTCTGGATAAGGCAGGGGTGTTTGTGGATGAGATTTGGTTGTTTCTGGATAAAGCAGGGAGTGTTTGTTACTGGATGAGGTTTGGGTGTTTGTGGATAAAGCAGGGGGAGTTTCTCCGTGCACTTCTCTGGAAGGAACATTGTGCCAAGAGGGTTTGGGAGCCTTCCTGGTGAGGGACAGAGCTCTCCTGGGGGTCAGAGCCTGTCCCCTCATTCCCTCATGTGGAGGACATGCCACCAATCCCATGCAGGAACATGTAATATGGCAATATATTACATGCCTGGAACAGTGCTGGGCCAACTCCCCACTCAGGCATGCAGGTGCTGTCAGTCACACTTGGGCTTAGGTTTTGTTAAAACCGAGTGCAAGGCTCGAGAATGTTCCTCTTGTTAACAATCAAGAGGGGGTTTAGGGGAAGGACAGAGTTCCTTTCCTCGTGCACTTCCAAAATAAAGAAACAAAAGAAGACAACAGGTACATCTTCTTCCAACCCCACAGCAAAACAACAACATTCCCTTCGTTTCACATGGAGTGGAAAATGGGATGGAAATCTGGAACAGAGTTTTATTCATGGCTGGAGGTTTGGCTCTGGGACTGTGCTGAGGGAACACAGGTGGCAATGAAGAACGTGTGGGACAGATGCTGACACACCTACTCTGTGCTCTCCAGGCTGCTGAGCATTCCTTCAAGAGGGAAATCATGGAAGTGCAAGAGACCCGAGAGCCCCTGGAGGTTTGTGAAGGATGCAAAGCCTCCCCCAGCCTGCCCTACACCCTGTGCTGAGGGAGGAGCACCAGGAGTGCAGGAAAACACCCAGGTTTGTGGCTCAGCCCTGGGAAGGGGCTTTCTGGAAATCCATCCCCTTCCAAAGGATGAAGAACTCACTCCTAACCCTGCACTACTCAATAGTAATGTGGACACTCACATTTAGAGAGCTGGGGAATCACAGCTTGGAAATTCTTGCCAGGCCTGGATTTCTCCTGACTCTCAGCTCCATTCCCAGGCTGACAAGCTGACTGCAGCTTCAGTTAGGGAGGAGTCTCCCAGGGTGAGAACACGGTGACAAACAGAGTGGAATTCATCACCAACATTAACCCCTGGTGTCTTTCCCGTGGGACACATCCTGAGGTGCTGTCCCAGGGATGTTTTTCCCAATTGTCC